TGTGGTGATCCGGTTGGAATTATCTCAAAAACGTATTTGAAGTCTGCGAAAAGTGCTCAAAGCCTCAGTGTCACCCTCTTCCTCCTTCCCTCGAACTCGAAAATACTGCTGATCACAATGGCTTCAGTGCGATTCATAAGTGAGCAAGATTCAAATAACTGTACCATTCTTTTCCTTCACGCCATCTAGTAAATATAATGATTTAATTTTTTTTTCACACATTATACCACACTATGACTTATTAATTTGAATTTTTCAGGATATTTTATACATATTGTTCATACACTCATCAAACTCAAATATTTGAATTTCAAGAATATTCACAAAACGTCTTCGCTTAAACGAGTGGATAAATGAAATCAGATAAAGTCCAACCTTCTGACTGGAGCACGAATTCGTTCAGCGGCTCTGTGTGTCAAAAGCCTTGCAGCCAGCACTGCGAAGTCTTTATTCCGCTTCACCACACTCCATTTGAATGGACCATGCTCCAATTCGATTGTATATCTGTAATATCTCTCAACAATTCAGTCTCATTGATAGAATATATGAAATTCATACATTCCCCCATTGAGCAACAATTTGTCACCTTGTTCAATCTGGTGAATGTATTGCGATTGAGGTTTTTAAGTTTGATATCAGTTGACGATAGCTTTACTGACAATGCATTATTATTTCATTATCACCGTTAACATTATCACTATCACACTTTTCTTGATCTCACAAATACCATGACATTGCTATCAGTTCCTGAGAATTGTTCAAAAGTAATGAATGCTCAGTAAAATCCTCACAAATAAGCATTGATCAAATGGATGCCGAATTTCGTATCCTTTTCCACCTTCGTGATTTTCGCCTTAACTGGAAGGCCGGGAATCCAATAGCCGCGACGACGTGCCTGCTCTTGCGTATCATAAACTGCTTCATAAGGAATGTATCCTGCTAAAACCTTCCTCACAATAGTATTTCAATTATTTCAAGGAATGACCAGAATTATTTAAAAAATATTTTACCCAATAACCAACTCATTGCTCTACATCGTCAAATAGAAGACTTGCCCCACCCGAACGGCTACTCAACTTCAAGTCCATAATTATCATTACTTTAAAGGTCCATAATTAGCCTCTGGATTGCATTCAACAAATTTTAAGAAGACAATCGTGACCAGCGTCACGAGCTGTTGCAAATATTTAATGATTCGCAAACACTGTCTCATATCTCTGAATTAGTTAAGATGTCGGCTTCAACTATCAACGACTAAACGATAGCAATAATAATAGTGCTAATAACCGCGTTGTCCAGGAGTGCCAGGCAGTGCCTCATGAAGTTTCGATGCAATACAATCGCATGCAAATTCTTCATCGTCCGGTATGAAATCCTCGATCATTCTGAATCTTTACCCCTCGCATACACCGATCCTGAATTCATCATTGCTAATTTTCGACGACAATTTTCTTCCAAAGAGATATTTCGCTTTTCGTTTTCCGAATGAATAACGTCAATCAAAACAGAACACGGCGCT